TTATAGGTCGGTGCCGGCAAGTGCATAGGAGATGGAGGATTTTAAAATTTTATTACAAAATTGGGGTCTACCAGAGCTAATTAATCGTTTTGAAGGTAAGTTAAACAAAATAAGAAATTAAGTAGAATTTAATATTATCGGTGGTAAATGAACAATAGGATTTCAGAAGACCTTAAAATATTAAAAGCTATCAACTAGGAACTAGGTTCTTGGTTCTTAGGTTATTCGCATGCTTTCTGAGTTTTTAATATGTATACCGGGTGCTCATTATTTATATTTTTCACTATTGTACCTACAAGATTATAACTTTTAACATGCAGTTTTCACCGAAATGTTTCAAGTTATTTCAAGTTTTATTTCACTCAATCAAAACTTTTATCGCTTCCGGCTTACTGAAAAACAAAATGGTGGTTTTTTAAAGACGTTTTTGTTAACAAAAATACTCAATAATAGTTACATTTGCCGTATTAACCACAGTTAATTTTTTTAGACGAAGGAATCACTGACGACAGTTTTAAACTTTTGGATAATGAGGCTATTAATAGCCTAATTTCAAAAACTGGTCCTAAACTTATATTCAAAAATAAGTATTGGGAATACAGAAGTCAAATAGACATAAATCAAAGTGATAGAGGAGATTAAAAAAATGTTATATAATAATATACAGGGTGTTCCATTTAAAAAAACATAACTTTGGTATGCTGTGGCCTAAATAATTTAAAATGTGCAGCTTGACAGTATCTATGACTTCCATATAAAACGTTTTTTGTATCTTTCAAAATAACAGACTTATGAAACTCTGGAGTATAAGTTGATCACCCTGTATTGTTATATTTATATTTCAATGAATAAACTTATGTTGAATACTTGTAATATGTTGAATACTTGTAATATGTTGAATACCTGTAATATGTTGAATACCTGTAAAAGTGCAAATGTTATATTTCAGTGAATAAATTTTTGTATTGAATACCTTTTGTATATTTTAATGCCCTGTCCATCCTTTATAAATCGCAAGCCCATGCTATTAAATTTGGGTGTCATAGCCTACTCCTGGACGATGTCAAATTTTGATAGTCCTAAGGTAGGAGGTGAGTTTGGGACCTATGCCGTCAATTGGGGGTGGAGCAGTTGGAAACTGTGGAGAGGTAGGGGGTTGATGTCGCGATGGGGTGTATTTGGGGAAACGATCCAGTACGGCTTTCGGGAGTACTTGTCATCATGAACGTTGAAAACCAAATGCCGTACAAAATTAATTCGACCGGAAATCAGTAAAAATTTATAAAAAAAAATATATATTTTCCTGAATTTCGGTCGAATTATTATTGGACAGCATTTGGTTTTCAACATTCATGATGACAAGTACTCTCGAAAGCCGTACTGGCTCGTTTCCCCAAATACACCCCATCGCGACATCAACCCCCTACCCCTCCACAGTTTCCAACTGCTCCACCCCCAAATTGACGGCATAGGGCCCAAACTCATCTCCTACCTTAGGACTATCAAAATTTTGACATCGTCAGGAGTAGGCTATGACCCCCAAGAGCAGCTAAAATAATCACCTGATTCAGGTTAAATCAAAAAGCTAAAGTAGAAAAAGGTTTTTTTTTTTTTGTGGTAGCTAATGTGTTACCTAGAACAAGAATATTTTTTAGCTACAGTAAATTAATTTTTTTGCTCTTAAGTTGCGGTTTTTCTTAAAACAACTGAATTGTTGACTTAGTCTCGTCAAAACTTTCGCTTAGTTTAAGCGAAAATCAATAAAAATTAAGCTGTTCCAAGTTAATTTCGTTGCTACCATTAGTTGCTATATTTCCTGCTATAACTTAAATGGTAACCTGTTTTAGCAAAAACATTTACTTACTTTAAGTGATCTATAAATTCACTTACAGCAAGTTACTCATTTCAGGAATTTTTTTTTTCTTGATTTAGGTATACTGTTTACTTGTCTCGTATTTAAGACAGATTTTTACTTGGAGTAAGCGAATTTTCACTTGCAGTTAGTGAATTTTTTTCTTCGTGCACGCACCCACGCACACACACACACACAAACAGACACACAAACACACACACACACACACACACACACGCACGCACCCACACACACACACAAACACACACAAACACACACACACACACAAACACACACACACAAACATCATCGCGAAAATAGTCAAAACGGATTCAGGGGACCCCAAAACATAAAAATTCGTCGAAAACTCGAGGTCAAAAAAAATCATGATTCCTATACTTTCCTTATTTGTATACAGATAGGAAAGTAATTATTCATGGGAAAGAATATCTATGGATTCTTTAAAAGCACAAGACAAGCAATATATTTTGATTGCAGAATACGTTTATAAATTTGTTGGAGCCAATGACTACAACAACAGCAACTATGTAAATAAGTAAGCTGAAACCAATAATATATACACATGAAATCCCGAAAGAGGTAAGGAGTGACAACGGACCTCCATTTGACTCGAGAGAGTTTAAAATGTTTCTTGAGAAAGAAGGAGTGACTTATAAGACAAGTAGTCCTAGATATCCCAGATCAAATGGGTTTGTTGAAAGACATATCCAAACGATAAAGAATATGGTCGCCAAGTCAAACAATGAAGACATATACAAGACCGTCATGATATACCTATAATAACACGCTAAAGAAAGATCTTTCCGCACCAGATAACATTCTGGTGGGACGGAAAATTTGAATCAGCCTACCAATGACAGACAAATTGTTGGAAACAAGATCAAAAAATAAAGTTCAGACAAAAATAAAGTATGCCCAAGAAAAACAAAGTAAATATTATAATAGGACTGGAAAAGAAAAAAGCCCACTAGAGAAAAGCATTTTAATGCAAGAAGAAAAGAATACGTGAGTACCAGCAAAGATACTAAAAACATTAGTAGAATCAAACTAGTATTTAATTTAAACAAAAGACGGAGGAATGTACAATAGAAATAAAATTCATCTGAAGAATCTAAAACAAGTTGAACAGAACATAAAAGTGAAGCGAGAAGAGCACGAAGAAAATATGCAGCAAGAAAGTGAAGAGAACAAAGGAACAGTTGGACAATCGAGGGTTGAAAGTGGAGACAAGAAAAAGAAGTAACTTGTATTCACTTTTGCTTTTAATAATTATTATTTTTTATTTTGGGGGATGGCGGGGATAGAACAACATTTTTGTTTGTAATTTAAAAAAGATTTTGAAAAGATCAGCTTTCGACGGATATTGCGTTTTTCAAACTTAAAAAATTATTAGCCACCGTTTCTTAATGTAAAATATGCAACTTTTTTACTGACAGTTAAATCAGCACCCACTTCACTTAAACACTAATTTTCGTCCAATTTGACTAAATCCTTTGATTTTGTCTTGTAATAAATGCTTTTTGAAGTTTTACATGTTCAAATGTTAATTTAATTCCATTTCGCTAGAGCCTTTGAATTTTTATATTATAATAAATATGCACGCTTCTTGAAGCTTTGTAGGTTTAGTTATTACTATAGTTTTGTAATAAATTATTTCTGTAATTTTATATTCTTTTAATTTTTTTATTGCACATTTAATTTAGATAAGACTGATTCGAAAAAACGGCAATAATTCAGTATTTTTGTATTCATTTTAATAGAAAAACTTCAATGGATTATGTTTCATTTTACATTTATAATTTACAGGACGACTAATATAAATAAAAAATATATAAACAGTTTATCTTAGAATCCTAAATGACTAAAATTTTAATTTTATTAGTAAGCCATAGGAAACCTCTAGAAGTATTACTAAATTATTTTGTGTCCTTTAGTTATTTTGTTTTGTATATTTTTATTTAGTTTTTTGTGGCCTTAATCCCTACTATAGGTTAAATCATTTTCATTATTTACTCATTAATAAAAATTATTTTCAATTTTATATTCCCCAAACTGCTCATAAATTTCAATTTCATATAGCGTGTCTCATTACTTTTTTCCATAGTTAAAAAAAACAATTTGTTATTGAAAAATTATATCAAGCTTTTATTTTTACTTTCCGATCTGTATACAGATAAGGAAAGTATAGGAATCATGATTTTGTGTGTTGTGTGTGTGTGAGTGAAAAACACCAAATTTTAAAATTTAAGTTTAAGGCTTTATTCCGGCCTCCAGTGGGGGCCATCTAGGGGGGGTACTGTACTTTATAGGTGGTCATTTTTATATTTTAAGGAATATATCTGTTTGGAGAAAAAAATTTTTTAATTAAAAGTTACTTACAATATAATTATCTATAATTTTCGTTTTATACAAAATTTTCCTAAAATGGTCCGTATTCGAGAAATTTGACAAAATGTTAAAAATTAATTTTTTATAAAAATTGTTTAAATAAAAGTTGTTTGTAACATAATTTGTTTGTAATATAATTTGTATACATAATTTCTTTAAAATGGACCGTATTCAAGATATTTGAGAAAATGTGTAAATTTTGAATTTTGAAGAAAACTCAAAAACGGATAGAGGAAAAAACATTAAATTTTAAATCTTAAATTGTATTTCGGCCTGAGGTGAAATGATTAGATTTTGGACAAAGTCGGAACATCTAGGGGGTACTTTATAGGAAGCCGTTTTTATATTTTATGGAATATATGTTAATTATGTTTGGAGAAGAAAATTGTTCAAATAAGTTACTTCTAATAATATTATATATAATTTTTATCTTATGCCAAATTTTCCTGAAATTTTCCTCATTCGAGAAATTTGTCAAAATGTGCAAAATTCTAATTTTTAAGGAAATTGTTGAACTAAAAGTAATGGAACAATTGTAAGAAAAGTGCTAAATTTAAATTTTTCAGTATTTTCGTTTTCAATGAATATCTATAGAAACATTTTTTTGGATAGATCTGTTTAGAAAATGTATATATTTAGTTTATACTCCAAACATTTACATGTACAAAATAACCGGAAAAAGCCTATAATAACTTGATAGGAAAGTCATGTGTTGGACGCATCAGATTTTTATACTTACCTACAATCACAGAAACATATAAAAATATGGTATCATCCTTTTTGTTGTTTTGAGACTCAGCCTTAAATTTTTGGTTATTTTTAAATTCTGTAGGTACATATTTTACTTCTTGTAAAATATCTTGTTTTTCAAAACGGGTTTTTTCGTCCATCTTTTTTACATGATTAGAAAGACAGGAATGATTAAAAGTTACCTGTTCCATATTTCCATACTTCATTTTTCAATATCAAAATAATGTTCAATTAACATTATATTTTAGACATACCTATAAATTAGAAGACTACATTATGGTATCTAAAAGCAACTAAACTATTCTAATGAACCTATACAAATATGTTCAAATGCAAACCATTGCGAAACTTATCAATGGGGGCTCAGTGCCGTAGATAAATTATATTCTTATTGAAATCAATATAAGGTAACTGTACATAAATTGGACACCGACCCAAAATTCGACATATTTATATAAATCGTTCCAAAATAAGAAACCCGTGTGTGTAAGATTAATGAAATCTAAAGATATCATTGGTCTAAACCCTTGGCGGGCATTTTTTAAAATCGGCTACATATTTTTGATGGATAGGATAAATTCAGAAACCTAAAAAATTGTCAGTGCAGCTATACTAGTGAATACGACTACAGTGTAACGTTCGCTCTAAGTTAAGGGACCATCAACCATTATTTTAAACTTTTCAACAACAAGTTTGCATGAGTTTAATTACTCTTTTAATTGTGTTATTGTACAAAAAAAATTAAGATAACCTATTTAAACGATTATTTAACCCAAGCTTGACCGTAATAGCCGTCACGCTTAGGATAAGAAAGCTAAAACTCGAAGTGTGGAGGAAAAAATTAGTTAATTTTAATATTGTCATTTTTTTTTGATAAATTTTTTGATAATTTTTTTGATAATTTTTTTGGTAATGTTTCGGTAATTTTTTTTAGATATTTTTTTTTGATAATTTTTTGGTAATTTTTTTGGTAATTTTTTAGGTATTTAATAACATATTATTTTTTTTCCCTTTTTTGAATTTTTTCCAATACATAAAGAGAAATGAACCATAAAATTCAAAAATATTTTCAACATTTTTAAACATTTACATTTTTTTTTAACAAATAAATAAATCTTGGTGTGTTTTATCTTATTTATTCTTTATTTATTTTTAAATGAATATTTTACAATAATTCTTATTTCTAAAATCTAAAATCTAAAACTAAAATGCATCTATAAATTAATTTATAACTATTACATATCTATGCCTCTAACGAGAGGTGCTAAAGAAAAACACATAAGATTAAAAATAGAGGAGGAGGAGGTACCTTTCGAACCACCCCTTAGCAGTACGGTATTTGAAAGGTCCTTTAAGACATCTTGGTCTCCAGAAAAAGAGACTGTCTCCGTAAAGACTGATACAGCCCCCCCGATAAAGGAGGGGGACAACGAAGAATCTCCTAAATCAAGGAAAGATTCTGAGGAATCTCCTGAATCAAAGAAAGCTTCTGAGGAACTCGACAAATCGGTAGCTAGTTCGCCGTCTCTGTCTAATAAACCTCCTACCCCAAACCCCCCATCCCCCCCCCCCTTCGGCCTCAAATAATAGTGTGTCACACCAACAGGTAATCACTCAAATTACTAAAAACATGGCGGACACCACATTAACAGAGGCATTCACTTATAACCAAAAACCAGCCCAACCTCAGTTTATTAGCCCCCCTATTTTTAACCCTTGTTCTGGAAATATCCATTCGTTCCTTTCAGCCTATGAACGTACAGCCATAGCTAATAGCTGGAACAATGCATTAAAAATAAGTTACCTAGGATCATTCCTAGAGGGTGCTGCTAATATCTGGTTTACCCTTTACAAGGAAAAGCCAGCAAATAAGGATAAAACTTGGACACAGGTTAAAGTTGACCTTATGATGAAACTGTTGATAAAATTGAGGTACCGTTAGAAGTCAACATTGGAGGCGTTTTTAAAGTTCCATAAACAAACAAATTCCGATAACATATAACACATTTAAAAAAAAAAAAAATATGATTTATCGTTTACTTACTTTGAGCAACAACTTGTTTAAAACCTAAAATGTTGAAAATAGGTACCACCTGACTTTATCGAATTCAAGTGAGAACATGGGAGATCTATGTCGAATTTAGGTTCAGATGCCGTTCAATAGAAATACTCCACTTTTTTACTTTCCTATCTGTATACAGATAAGGAAAGTATAGGAATCATGATTTTGTCGACCTCGAGTTTTCGACGTTTTTTTTACGTTTTGGGGTCCCCTAAATCCGATTTGACTATTTTCGTTATGATGCCTGTGTGTGTGTCTGTGTTCGTGCGTGCGTGTGTGCGTGTGTGCGTGTGTGCGTGTGTGTGTGTGTGTGTGTGTGTGTGTGTATGTGTGTGTGTGTGTGTGTGTGTGTGTGTGTGTGTGTGTGTGTGTGTGTGTGTGTGTGTGTGTGTGTGTGTGTGTGTGTGTGTGTGTGTGTATGTGTGTGTGTGTATCCTCGATAAAATAAAAAACAATAAATTTTAAACTTAAGTTTTATTTCGGCCTGAGGTGAAGTGATTAGATTTTGGGCAGAGTTGGAACATCTGGGGTGGTACTTTATAGATGGTCATTTTTATATTTTATATATTATATCTGTTATTTACGTTTGGAGAAGAAAATTCTTCAAATAAAAGTTACTTATATACACAGAAAAAAATTATCATCTACATTCAAGAAAAGCTTTACATTTGGAAGATTACATTTGTTGGAAATAAAGCAGAGTTTGCTTCAAATAAAGTTTCTTGATACAATAAGAAAATAAATGTTGAGTGAAGTATAGGCATAATCTTGTATTTTAAGAGTTATAATAATTAATCTGAGAATAAATTATTTCATTCGAGTATAGAATTGTGAATTAATCCAAGAAAGCTCTTAAGTTTATTATATGTATAATATGCTCTTAAAACCGACCATTGAGTAACTTGATTCAATGTTATAAAAGGATTCGATTCAAAGCATTTAAATTTCAGAACAAGAGTTAAACAATTTTGTTTGTAGTTTTCTTTGGCTTTACAAAATCGTTAGTATTTTTGTCACTATTGTCATCGACCTCCATATCTGTTGTATGTTCCTGTCCTACTCTTTTCCTGAATAATAATTGGTGAGTGTTAGGAGATAGTTTGTCTTCCATGGCCGGGTAAAGTTGATTTTCGAGGTTTCCCGCATATTCCTGCGCTTGTAGGGATTGTGCTCCCTCTGGGATTTTACTGATTGGGGTTTGGGATCCAGAGAAGTCTAGCACCCTTCTGGTTACATATTTTGGAACCTCATATTGTTTGATGGTGAGTTTAAGTGTGTTCTCTTCCCCTTCCCTTCTGCTTATTTTATAGCCGGCTTCGCGCTCATTAATATTGTCGAGTTCATCTTTGTATTCCTGTGTTTGTGGAGTGTATTACCTTTTCCGTGTTATTGTCGTCTTTCTCCTCTGTATCAGAGTTTTCGGTTGTTTTCTCATTATTGGTATCTCTGTTTTGGTTGATAATCGTGTTGTTAGTGTTGTTTCCAGGATTACTATCATCCTGGCTATCTATATTAGCATCCGAAGAGTCATGGAATTCCCTTTCATCGGAGTCCCCCTCTGTAAGTACTCTTATTAGATTCTCATTGTTATTGCTGCTTTGTAGTTCTGTATAATATGGCTTTCGATCGCTGTCCCAGCGGCCGATTCAGCATGCAGTCCGCCGTCCGACCAGATCACTTAAGTCGGTGTGAATTGTCGCAGCTGTGGAGGGTGTTAATGTCTTTGTTTGTAAATATTAAGTCTTGCGTGGATGCATCCGTGCTTTCTACGCACGTTGTCTTCTCTATAAATGTTAATGATACTTTTCCTGACGGGTTCAGGGAGGCATCGCGCGTAGAATTTGTCAGCAGTTGTCAGTATGAATTGGTTGATGTATTATATGTCTGTCTCTGTATGCATGTCAGTAATTCGTGCATAACGATCATACCCCAAAGCTAGCCTAATACAGTTGTTCTAAGCGACCTGTAGCATGTGATAATGCGAGTTTGCCATCGAGCAAAACACTGGACATTCATGTGTTACGATGGGTCGATGAATTGTTCTATAAATGAGCAGTTTATTCTCTCTTGAGAGCCTGCTCCTTCTGTTTATGATGGGGTAAAGCATGCTTGTAACTGCCATACTTTTCCCCACCCTGTCTTGAATGTGTTCGTTGAATCTCAATCCCTTATATAGTTAAAACCGAGGTATTTTAGAGTGGCTTTGGCTGGGATTTCTTCCTCCCCAACTTTTAGGGGTGTAAGAATTCCCTGTGTTCTTCTTCTGGTAAGTACGATGCACTCTGTTTTCGTGGAGTTTATTCTCATTTTACTTTCAACCAGGTAAGGGATTAACGTATCATTAATATGGACGTCCAGGTCTCGGACCGCTGTCTCTGCCGATCTATCGCTTTTGAAGACGCAGATGTCGCCGGTATTCAGCGCCGCCTGTAATTGTGTTGTTTAGTTTTATGTTGAACTGTCTGTCCTGTAGGTAAGACAGAATTATTTTTACAATATACACGGGAAATTCATTCACCAGCATCTTGTAAATTAACCTGCAGGCCCATACGGTATCGAACGCTTTCTCGCTGTCTAGGGCTACTAGCACTGTTTTTAGGTCATTATTAAACGCCTCTTAGGCGTGATGTACAATTCTAATGACCTAAGCCACGGTGCTATGTCCACTTCTGATACCGTACTGTTCCTGCGGGATAATTTGTCGTTGTTCTTCAAATTGTTTAAGGCGTTTTAAACTAATTTTGTCCATAATTTTCGCTAGAGTGGTAGCGAGATGGGTCGGTAACTTTCTATATTTTTCGGGTTTTTACCCTGTTTGAGGAGTTGTACAATCGCCTTAATTGGTATGTTTCTGAACATAATGTTGCTTATGCCATCCGGTCCTGGAACTTTCTTGTTTTTGAGGCCCTTAATTACTTCCCCTATCTCTTTAGGAGATGTCATGAAAGTTTGAGGGACTATTTGTGGGGGTTACTTTTAGTTTGTCAACCATGTTTTCTATTATTTGTTGTTTTATATTATTTGATGCGTTGTTTGCGAAATTTGATTGAAAGTAGACACCGAGTGCGTGGCCTTTGCCTGTGTCTGTAGTGTGTGTTTTGTCATTGTATCAGTGGGGGAGTAGTAAATGGGGTTTCTTCAAACCCTTCACCATTCTCCACAGTGAGTTGTCCATAGGATTAATTTTGACAGGGTTTTCTGCCATTTAGCATTTATGTGAGCATTGATTTCGCTGTAAATGTACTTG